GACCCCACTCCCCTCCCAGAGCCAGGAGAGAACCCAGGAGTCCTGGCTCCCACCCCCCTGCTCTAACCACTGGACCCCACTCCCCTCCCAGAGCCAGGAGAGAACCCAGGAGTCCTGGCTCCCACCCCCCTGCTCTAACCACTGGACCCCACTCCCCTCCCAGAGCCAGGAGAGAACCCAGGAGTCCTGGCTCCCACCCCCCTGCTCTAACCACTGGACCCCACTCCCCTCCCAGAGCCAGGAGAGAACCCAGGAGTCCTGGCTTCCAGCCCTGAAGCAGCAGCATCCCATTGAAGTCAAAGTGGGGCAAGTGGGGGTGGGGATTTCTTGTCCCCTTGTCGCTGGTGAGTTGCTGAGCTGTGTCTGTGATGCCCCCCCAAGAACCACAGAGACAGGAAGCCGGGGGGAGGATGGGGGGAGGTGGCCGGGTGCAGAGAGAGACACAGCTCAGAGAGCCAGCGAGAGAGAGAAAGGGCTGGGTGTAGGGATGGGGAGATAAACGGGGTGTCTGGGGAAGGATAGATATGGGGTACATAGGGATGGATGGGGACACAAGGATTGGGGTACACAGGGATGGTTGGAGGGTTAGATGGGTGCACAGGGATTGGGGTACACAGGGATGGTTGGAGGGATGGATGGGGGTACAGAGGGATCAGGGTGCACAGGGATGGATAAATGGAGGGATGGATGGGGGACACAGGGATTGGGGTACACAGGGATGGAGGGATGGATGGGGGACACAGGGATTGGGGTTCACAGGGATGGTTGGAGGGATGGATGGGGGTACAGAGGGATCGGGGTACACAGGGATGGATGGATGGGGGTACAGAGGGATCGGGGTACACAGGGATGGAGGGATGGGGGACACAGGGATTGGGGTACACAGGGCTCGACACATACTGTCTCCTCGGACGCATCTCTCTCCCCACCCAGCCTCACAAGCTCCTTCCTGCTAAATATCAGCCCCGCCCCCCGTGACCCCACCCGCTGGTTAGGGACAGCCCGGGCTGGGTGCAGCCGGACAGACTGTGCAGGGGGCACCCAAGAAGGTAAGAACACGCTGTGCTCTGCTCCCCAACCCCGCCATGCGCCCCACTCTGGGCCCCTCTACCCTACAGCCCCCCACGACCATTAGACCCCACTCCCCTTCCCGAGCCAGGGAGAGAACCCAGGAGTCCTGGCTCCCAGCCCCCCCTCCTCTAACCACTAGACCCAACTCCCCTCCCAGAGCTGAGGGGACAACCCAGGGGTCTTGAGCCCTGTGGGTGGTGTTGTGGGTCCCCAGTAGCAGAGAGGGGCTGGGGTTAGAGACCATGGGGTGACCGTCCAGGGGCAATGGAAAGAAATGAAGCCAAAGTGAGCAAGGGGGATGAGGGGCCAGATACTGGCTGGGGGGGGTCCATGGGGCTGAGCCGGGGTGGCAGGGAGAGGGAGGGGGCAGGATACCAGGCTAGGGGGGTCCATGGGGCTGATCCCCAGGGCGGGAGCCGCGAGCTGGCTGAGGGGGGCTGGGTTTGCGCGGGTCCCTGGCTGACGGGAAGGTGTAAGAACAGCTCAGGGAAGTGGCTGGGGTGTGAAAAGCAGATGCAGAGAACAGCAGCTCCGCTAACCACTGGAGAACGCTCCTCCCCGCCCTCACCAGGTCTAGAGAGAGACCCAGGCGTCCTGGCTCCCAGCCCCCACCCCCACCGTCTAGCTACTAGGCCTCACTCCCCTCCCAGAGCCAGGGAGAGAACCCAGGCGTCCTGGCTCCCAGCCTCCCTCCCTCTAACCACTAGGCCCCACTCCCCTCCCATTGCTGGGGAGAGAACCCAGGAGTCCTGGCTCCCAGCCCCGCCTCCTGCTCTAACCACTAGGCCCCACTCCCCTCCCTTTGCTGGGGAGAGAACCCAGGCGTCCTGGCTCCCAGCCCCGCCTCCTGCTCTAACCACTAGCCCCCACTCCCCTTTCCCGGGGCAGGGGGAGAACATGAGTCACTGCAGCAGTCTGACTCAGCGGGGCCCAGCTGGGGCGACTGGGACGCTGGGTGGGCGGGGGAGGGGCTATGTCAGCAATGGGGGGGGGGTGCCCCGATTCCAGGGCTCCTGGGCCCAGCTCGGGTTCCTCTTGCAGGTCCGGTAGCCAAGACTCTGCCCGGTGGCCCGGTTCGGCGGGAGATGTGGGCCTGTAGCGTGGGGAGCTGCCTGCTGGCCGTGAGCAGCCTGGTGCTGCTCTGCATGGCTCTCGTCACCGACTACTGGCTCTTGGCCATCGGCGCCAACACCACGGCCCACAGCGGGCTCTGGCAGGTGTGCTTGCCCGTTGGGTGCCAGAGCCCAGCCCACGTCACCGGTGAGCAGACGGCTCGGACGTGGCCCCTCTGGGGTGGGGCGGGGGCTGGTTATCCAGGGGCCTCTTACCCAGCGCTGGGATGCGGCCACCTCTGGGGTGCGGTGTGGGGGGTGTTTATACGGGGATCCCACGCCCGGCGCTGAGATATGGCCATCACTGGGGTCAGGAGCGGGGCTGGTTATCCGGGGCCCCTCACCCAGCGCTGGGATGCGGCCACCTCTGGGGTGGGGCTGGGGACTGGTAGTTATCCAGGGGTCTCTCACCCAGCGCTGGGATGCAGCCACCTCTGGGGTGCGGCATGGGGGGTGTTTATACAGGGATCCCACGCCCGGCGCTGAGACATGGCCATCACTGTGGGTCGGGAGGGGGGCTGGTTATACAGGGACCCCTCGCCTGGTGCTGGGATGCAGCCACCTCTGGGGTGGGGCAGGGGGCTGGTTATACAGGGGCCCCTTGCCCTGCCCTGAGATGCAGCCACCTCTGGGGCCCCCCAGGGGGCTGGTTATACAGGGGCCCCTTGCCCTGCCCTGAGATGCAGCCACCTCTGGGGC